ACACGCATGAGGAGGATCACAGACACGCATGAGGAGGATCACAGACACACACATGAGGAGGATCACAGACACACGCATGAGGAGGATCACAGACACGCATGAGGAGGATCACAGACACACACATGAGGAGGATCACAGACACACGCATGAGGAGGATCACAGACACATACATGAGGATGTACAAACATATACAAATGAATCTTTTGTTTGTTCTGAGACAGGATTTTCTGTATAGCTCTGGCTGTCCTGCAAATGCTCTGTAGACCAGGCTGGCCTCAAATTCACAGAGATCTCACTGCCTCTATGTCCAGAGTGCTAGGATTAAAGATGTGTGCAACCACATGAATTAACCAGGCATGGATGATTTTTTTTTTATGAAAAAGAGCTGGGATTATAGCTTAATGTTAAAGCACTTGTCCTGCTTGCACATACAAAAAAGAAAATAAAGAAAAAAAAGAAAGAAAGAAAGAAAGAAAGGAGGGGAGGAAGGAAGAAAGAAAGAGAAAAAGTTACAGGTTGTTGATAGCCGATGGATCATTCGCCCTCTCCAATAGCATGTGTGGGCGTGGGGAGCACTTATTGTGGTGTTCTGCAGTTCTGACCGGTGGCTTTACTAATAATCCCTTTCACCTCTCACTCCTGGCAAGTTCCAGGAGCATTTGTATATGCATGGGATTTCTGTCACATTGTTTACTGTAGTTTATATGCAAGAAGCTTTTCAACCGGTTAAAAGTCTTTAAGTTTGAATATACAGCCATCATTTGCCTTAAAAATACCCCAAGTTTCAGTCATGTCAACAATGTGTTGAAAGATGAATGGTTGATTTTCTTTATTTTACCTGTAACATTTTGGTGTGAATGCCTTGTCCCAGTTCATTGCCTCCATGTGCAACCAACACAGACCCATCAGTGTAGATGTGAACGAGTGCAGCTGCCTGTAAGATGATCCAGAAGGCATACCTCAGTGTGTGTTGGCAATTATGGAAGTTCAATATGAGAGATGGGGGGGGGTCTGGAGAGATGGCTTAGTGGTTAAGAGCACTGGCTGCTCTTCCAGAGGACTGGGGTTCAATTCCCAGCACCCACATGGCAGTTTACAACTGTCTATAGTTTCAGTTCCAGAAGATTCAACCTCCTCTTTTGGCTTTAATGGGCAATGCATCAACATGGTGCAAAGACATACATGCAGGCAAAACACTCATAAATTTTTTAAAATTTAGAAAAAGAAATGAGCTAATGAAATCTCAATCTCCCAGAGCAGGGAGGTCAGAGATGCTAGGTTTCCTGGCAGGACCTTAGAACTTCGCTTTACTCTGTGCAAAAGTTGACTGTAAAGAACCTTTCCTACTTAGGAACCTGGATTCATCCTTCCTTCCCTCCTTCTCTCCTTCCCTTCTTCCCTCCTTCCCTCCCTCCTTCCTTCCCCCTTCCTCCCTCCTCCTTCCTCCATTTCTCCCTCCCTTCTTTCTTTCTTCTGAAAAACTCTTATTATGTAGCCTTTGCTGGCCTAGAACTCCTTATATAGACGAGGCTGGCCTTGAACTCACAGAGATCCACCTGCTTCAGTATCCCAAGTGCTAGGATTAAAGGCATGTGCCACCACTCCCATCTGGTCTCAACTATTTGAAAGTCAGCCCCTTACCTAAAACTGAGGGCTGATTGTGAAGCTACTGAATCAATTGTTTTCCTTCCCTGAGCTCTATCTAGGCATATAAGCACGAACAAGGTGCAGTTTTGCTTCAGGGGAGTCACAAGGTGGGGGGACACAGACTGAAATCCAGTCATCATGGGCAGAATACTCAGTGGCATAAGAGTGTGGGTTATGGGTTCCATGAGATCTGGGCTGTCTGTCAAATCCAAATCTCCTTGTGCTGCTCAGGGTCCCCTGAAGTGACAATGAATGGAGTCAGGAGACAGAAGTGAGTGGGTTGAGTGAATCTCCCTATTGCCTGTAACCGAAAGCTCCCCTCCTTGTCACAGTAGTCCTTTAGGATCTGGTCTCTCATCACCCACCTCACAGCATTCCTGTCTCTTCTTGCCTTGTCCCCAGGTCCCATCTCACTACCACTCCTCTTGGACCCTGGCTCCTTCTTGGCTGTCCTCACTTCCTAGCTGTCTCAGCCTGATCTCCATCTGTCTAGCGTTTAGACCTCCCTGTTTCTATTCTCTTAAGACTCCTGGTAACATCTGACCCTATCTGGGAGAGATCCATCACCTCCTCCATACTTTCTCTTTCAAGTCCTGGGTGGAACAGTGGTTCATGTCTCTCTGAAATGTGTCTACCTGGAACCTCAGAACGTGCCCTTTGTTGGAAATAGTTTTTGCAGATACAATTATTTAAGATGATCAGACTAGTAGGAGCAGACCCTAAATACAATGACTGGTATCCTTATCAGAAGGCTCTGGGGTAGAATCAGGGACAATGACTGGGAAGCTGGAAGTATCCATAAGCCACGAATGGCTAGGAGCCAGGAGAGGCTGGAAGAGCCAAGGAAGGATTCCTCCCGGGAGGTCTTGGAGGGACAGTGGCTCTGCTGACACCTTCAGTTTGAAATTCCAACTTCTAGAACTGTGAGGGAATACATTTTTTTTTTTTTTTGAGCTGCCCAGCATGTGGCAATTTGCTATAGCCAACACAGTACACCCCTGGGGACATTGCAAGCTCTGCTCTGAGTCTCTCCAAGCAGGGCAAATGGCCTTGTGTGGCTTTGTGTCCTGGAGAGAACTTAGAGCAGGTTGGAGTTACAGTGGCTACATAGAATGGAAAACTGGTGTTACCCCTCCCAGTCTGGAGATGCCTGGAGGCTGGAGAATGTTTTGGGGTTGGGGTGGGTGCTGGGGGGTGGTTGGGGGGTGGGGAGCTTGGAGGTGCATGGGGACAATGACAGTATTTATTCACTGTAGTCTGTGGCCCGCTTAGTGAGGAGGTGTTCCAGCCCTGTGAGTCATCGGCTGACCTGGAATGACACCTCCCATTCTCAACTATTTGAAAGTCAGCCCCTTACCTAAAACTGAGGGCTGATTGTGAAGCTACTGAATCAATTGTTTTCCTTCCCTGAGCTCTATCTAGGCATATAAGCACGAACAAGGTGCAGTTTTGCTTCAGGGGAGTCACAAGGTGGGGGGACACAGACTGAAATCCAGTCATCATGGGCAGAATACTCAGTGGCATAAGAGTGTGGGTTATGGGTTCCATGAGATCTGGGCTGTCTGTCAAATCCAAATCTCCTTGTGCTGCTCAGGGTCCCCTGAAGTGACAATGAATGGAGTCAGGAGACAGAAGTGAGTGGGTTGAGTGAATCTCCCTATTGCCTGTAACCGAAAGCTCCCCTCCTTGTCACAGTAGTCCTTTAGGATCTGGTCTCTCATCACCCACCTCACAGCATTCCTGTCTCTTCTTGCCTTGTCCCCAGGTCCCATCTCACTACCACTCCTCTTGGACCCTGGCTCCTTCTTGGCTGTCCTCACTTCCTAGCTGTCTCAGCCTGATCTCCATCTGTCTAGCGTTTAGACCTCCCTGTTTCTATTCTCTTAAGACTCCTGGTAACATCTGACCCTATCTGGGAGAGATCCATCACCTCCTCCATACTTTCTCTTTCAAGTCCTGGGTGGAACAGTGGTTCATGTCTCTCTGAAATGTGTCTACCTGGAACCTCAGAACGTGCCCTTTGTTGGAAATAGTTTTTGCAGATACAATTATTTAAGATGATCAGACTAGTAGGAGCAGACCCTAAATACAATGACTGGTATCCTTATCAGAAGGCTCTGGGGTAGAATCAGGGACAATGACTGGGAAGCTGGAAGTATCCATAAGCCACGAATGGCTAGGAGCCAGGAGAGGCTGGAAGAGCCAAGGAAGGATTCCTCCCGGGAGGTCTTGGAGGGACAGTGGCTCTGCTGACACCTTCAGTTTGAAATTCCAACTTCTAGAACTGTGAGGGAATACATTTTTTTTTTTTTTTGAGCTGCCCAGCATGTGGCAATTTGCTATAGCCAACACAGTACACCCCTGGGGACATTGCAAGCTCTGCTCTGAGTCTCTCCAAGCAGGGCAAATGGCCTTGTGTGGCTTTGTGTCCTGGAGAGAACTTAGAGCAGGTTGGAGTTACAGTGGCTACATAGAATGGAAAACTGGTGTTACCCCTCCCAGTCTGGAGATGCCTGGAGGCTGGAGAATGTTTTGGGGTTGGGGTGGGTGCTGGGGGGTGGTTGGGGGGTGGGGAGCTTGGAGGTGCATGGGGACAATGACAGTATTTATTCACTGTAGTCTGTGGCCCGCTTAGTGAGGAGGTGTTCCAGCCCTGTGAGTCATCGGCTGACCTGGAATGACACCTCCCAGGGCTGCCCAAGTGGTTCTAGGGTGCCTGAGTTTATGGCCCTGCCCAGGAGCTGGAGGCTTTTCAGATGGAGACCAAAAGTCATATCCTGTCTTACTTCTAATGTGGTGAGATAAGAAACTGGCACCCAGGGGTGACAGCAGAGGGGTTTAGGTGAGAAGTGGCCATATTGATGACCATTTTGAGAGTCATTTTGAGAAACTAGGTGCTTAGTTTTGTCTCTGGTTCTTGGCATGGTACTTCTTAAATTTTGAAAAGTGCCACCCTTTGTTAATGAGAGGCTCCAGGAGGTGCCCAGATAGGTTTAGAGAGAGGGGGTCAGCCTGTGTGCAGTAGTGGTGGTGGTAGTGGTGAGGGGGTACTTCAGATCCTCCTCACCTTCCGGTTCTGTGCTCTTCCCTGGGGGTGGACACCCAGAAGACAAGCTTTGTCCCTCCCTCGTGTCTTGCCCTGGGCATCTCTTCCATTGGCCGGTACTGAGTTGTGTGACTTACATAAGGGGTTATAATAATAAAATGGAATGCAAAATCATTACACCTAACTGGAGATAGTGAAGAACTGTCAGTTTAGTGGTCATTTAGGCAGAAGTGTGAATAGTCCACCCAGCTGTTGTTCAAGTTAGTCTAATAAAGATACAATACTTGGTGGCAGAGAAAAACCACATTGGTGGCTATCTGGGGTCTATTGTATTTCTGCCATTGATTCAGCCCAGCTGGTGGATGTGACAACTAACCTTGTTCCTGTTTATGGAATGGTCATACTGAAGCCAGGCAGGGATATGACTCAGAAGTCGAGGGCACACTTTATCCTGTCAGGGGAGCAAGAGCCCTGAGAGGTGTGTCTGGGCTCTCCTGGGACGGGCTTAGGGCCTCCCTGGATGACTCCCACAATATTCCAGGAATCTTGCCAAGTGCTCTATATTAATTTTCTTAGCCAATCCTTATAATCCCTAAGACATTGTCACTGTTAGTCTCACTTTACAACCGAGGGAGCTAAAGTTGTTCAGAAAGGCTGAACAACTTTAATGTCACATGCCTAGCAAATGGCAGGCCAAGGGTATCTCAGGGGCTCCTGACTCCAGTTGATTAAGGATTTGGATCAACTGCTGCCTTATTTCCTAGGAGGAACTCCCTTTCACAGGAGAGGTGGTGTGTGTGTGTGTGTGTGTGTGTGTGTGTGTGTGTGTGTGGCTTGTGGGTAGGAATGGAGGAATGCTTTTGATGGTATGCACACAAAGCACTCCAACACTCTCCCAATTGCTGAGTTTTCTGAGCTAGGTTGATAGCAATGGGTAAGCAACAGCCATCCCATGCTTTCTAACCAGTTTTCTGGTCCCCGAAACCCACTGGGACTCAGAGAAGGTCTGCTCAGGCCTGGTACTGTTTGGAGGTCTTATCCACACGCATACTGCTGTTCTACCTCCTGTCCACCTGTGGATGACTTGCTTCTTCCTCTTGCCATTTTACCCAGGACAATTCTGGACCCCACTCCTTCTTCCCCACCAGAGCCAACAGATTCCTGGGGAGGTGGCTATCAGAGACCAATGGAATGACTTCTCTGCCTGAGATTTGTCAGGTGTCCCAAGGATTCCTGCATGTGGAACACCCCCTCCTCAGCAGAAAACACAATGGCACCATGGGTTCCTATTCCTTTTGAATAGCATGGAATCTGGGGCAGTACCAGGTCCCAGCAGTCATGCTGCTGTCCCCATCATGCTTGTCACCAAAGTTTCTTGGTGACCTTCCCCCTACTGCCACACATAGCCCTCAGGAGATTTCTGGACTTTTCTCCTATGTGTACACAGGGAGGGGCCTGGTGCTCTGGGATTCTCTGACCACCAGCACACACTATTGGGCCATGACTGTGTTAGACACCAGGGTCATTTACAGTGGGCCGTGTATGAACTTTACCTGGTGATAGCTTGTTGCAGCAAAGCCGACTGAAAACTTCATGGGGATTATAGCAATGCCCCTCTTCTTCCAGTAGTTCTTCCGATTGAACTCTTCTACTTGTGTCCTTCTGATGTGAAAGGAAGACTTGTCCAGACACTCAGTCCAGCACCTTATCAGGGGTTCTGGGCTGAAAGCTTGTTTGTAGATGGTTTTATCAACTGTTTTGTACATGTTTTTCTCCCTAATCTGAAACAAGTGTGAAATTCCATCAATGCCTGTGGTGAGACAGACTGCTCTTGGGGGTCTTAGAAGGCCTTTCCTCTGAAGCACACATGCACTTTGGTGGGGAGGACAGATCCTCCCCATTGTTTCCCAGCGGCATGGGCGACGTTGAGAATGGTGGGGCTATTTTTTATCTCCACATTAATGCTCCAACCAGGGTCTCTCTCTCACTTTGAAGTGGAGCGCAGATGAGAGTGACTAGTCTAAAAGGCAGTGTGAGGGAAGGACTGGGGAGGTTGGGCTGTCTGTCTATCTGTCCGTCCATCCTGTATCTCCGCCTACCCCTGTGTGTGTCTCTCTGTGTGTTTGTGTCTGAGTGTGTACATGCCATGGTATAGATGTGGAAGTCAGAGGACAACCCACGGCAGTCAGTTCTCTCTTTCTACCATATGGTTCCCAGAGATAAAACTCAGGTTGTCAAATTTGGCAGCAATCGCCTTTACCCACTGAGCCATCCTACTGGCCCACCCTTTTCAAACTTCAGGATTCAGAGGATAGAGCAGAGTTGGTAGAGAGTGAATTAAAGCCAGGCTCTACCATCATAGGTGATAGGTTCTACCATCACAGGTGACAGGCTCTACCATCATAGGTGACAGCTCTACCATCTTAGGTGACAGGCTCTACCATCATAGGTGATAGGCTCTACCATCATAGGTGACAGCTCTACCATCATAGGTGACAGCTCTACCATCTTAGGTGACAGGCTCTACCATCATAGGTGACAGGCTCTACCATAATAGGTGACAGACTCTATCATCTTAAGTGACAGGCTCTACCATCATAGATGAAGATTCTTCAATAGGTGACAGACTCTATCATCTTAAGTGACAGGCTCTACCATCATAGGTGACAGGCTCTATCATCTTAAGTGACAGGCTCTACCATCATAGATGAAGATTCTTCTGCTGGAAAGACATTGAAGAATAGATTGTTAGCAGGTCTTTAAGTATTTTGGAATACATGGTTAAATCTTTTAAAATTTGTTTTTGAACAGGATCTGCTTCATATCCTGGGAATTTTCAGCACCCAGAGAAAGCCTGCTGGAAATGCCTGGGAGGTTTTCATTATCTCCAATTTGTTCTAGTAGAAGGAAAAGAATGACTGTATTGTTGCCAGCAACAACACTTGGCTAAGACAATGCCCATTTAAAAAAAAAATTATGTGTGGTTCTGAGGCTGGAACCCAGGACTTTGTGCATGTTGGGTGAACTGTCGATCACAGAGCTACATTACCAGTCCTACAAAGATGAGTGTTTTTAGTAAAAATTTATTTTATCCTTAGGAACTCTGTGAAGGAAATCATCTTGTTCTTATTTTATAGCCAAGGAATCCAGGACACAAGGGGTCCATTGTCTTTGTTCACGCTGCTCCATTTGCTTAGATTTCCATCTACCTTCCTCAAGGTGAACCTCAAGTGTCATCTCCAGGAATTCGTTTTGAATCCCTCTCCTCATCCTGATGTAAAGTCGTCCTTTTTTGTATCCATGGGCACTTTTTTTTTTCTTTTTCCGAGACATGGTTTCTCTGTGTAACCTTGGCTGTCTTCTGTAGACCAGGCTGGTCTCAAACTCACAGAGATCTTCCTGCCTTTGCCTCCTAAGTGCTGGGATTAAAGGCGTGCACCACTACCATGACCCATGGGCACTTTTGTGACTTCTTGTAGGGAATCTATTGTTTTTCTGGTATAGTATTAGGTGTTCTCTGGTGTGGAGGAAGCACTCTGCCAATGAGATTGAAACCTGGAGGTCCCCATTGAATTTAGGGACAAAGGTGTTCAAGAGATAGCACACACAGAGTCCTTGCTGGAGCAGAGGGTCTGGATTGAGGAAACAGGGTAGAAACCGAGAGAGGTCTGGGATGTGACTGAAAGATCAAGGAGTGGATGACATCTTCAGCAGTCGGTGCTGGAGTCAGCCTGTCTCTGGGGCAATTCCTTTATGTCCCACCAGCCTTCTGGTGTACTGGACAGAATAACGTTTTCAAATAGTAAATTTTGGACAGCATCTCGAAGAAGTTTTCGAGTGCACCAGCAATTCCTTTTCTGTGAGTTTGCTCAATAGACAGACCCACACCAGAGGGCAAAGACATTCTGTTCCCCTAGAGCATATGTATCGGGGTAGTCACTGCAAGTTCATTTTAAGATTTTATTTTTAAATTATGTATTTATGTGTGGGTTTGTGCATGTGAGGACAGTGCCCAGAGAGGCCAGAAGAGGGCACAAGATCCCCTGGAGCTGGGTTACAGGTCATTGTGAACCACTGATGTGGGTGCTGGGAACTGAATTCTGATCCCCTGGAAGAGCAGTATGTCTCTTAACCACTCTGCCTTCTCTCCAGTCCCAGCACTGTTTTAATAGCCTAAAGTGATAACAAGCAACCTGACTATGTGTCAATAGTGGAGTGACTAAATAAATGATGGCATGTCCCTATCACAGACATGAAAAAAAAAAAGTGAAGCTCTCACCTCAAATTCTGAGCCAGGGTTAATTTGTGCAGTTTCTCCAGTATTTCCTGGGGCCACCAGGTAATTCCTCCCTCCTCTGACTCCTCATCACCCTTGGCTATGATCCCAGTTATAATCTTACCTTTTCTGGTGGGAGCCCACATTTGGCTGCCACAGCTGTGATACAAGATTCTGTTACCAGGGTTCCCTGTGGGAAGCCAAACCCACGAAAGGCTGTATTGGATGGTAAGTTTGTCATGCATGCCCGGCCTCGGAATCTGAGGTTTCGGATTTTATATGCATTTTCCAGCTTTAGTATAAGAAATTCTGTTACCTAAAGCAAAAGGAGATACCCACATACATTAGATGCCACCTTTTCATAAAGACTCATCTAGACATTTTCCATCGTACCCACTATCAAGAGCACAATTGGTTTCAGACACACATACCAGCTCCGAGTCATCCAGTGTGCATCCTCCATTGATGTAGCACTCAATGTCTAGGGCTTTGATTCGTCCACTGTTCATGAATCCCACCTGTCACCAAAGAATGGACATTTTACTGATTTATTTAAAATGTACCTTCCAAGTGCGAGTCACCCTTTAGTCTTCTGTTGAAGCAGATCAAGGACAGACTTTGCCTCCAGTTTGCTCTTGTGTGGCACTCCAACCTCTGTAGCCTTGTCTTTCAGGGTCTGATTGAAGAAGACCGTTCTTGACCCTAGTTTTGCTGAGTCCTGTCCTTTAAGTGGGCCAATCCTGACTCCACACTCAGCATGGAATCCTCAAGTTCTTGCTTGTCTCCCAGAATGTAATTGCTGCTCTTACCGTCCTTATTCTCGGCAGATTCTCTGCTGTTCTCTATGGCTTTCTTTCTAATTTAGTCTGTGGTTTTCTCCTTGTGGGAAAGTCTTTGGGATCCCAGAAAACATGGAGATGAATCATAATATCTCTTGTTACAGGAAAGCTTTGGGCACAGAGGTCGGAGAATTTATGAGGTGGACTCATCTTACTGGGTGGCCAAGGTGCCTTCCTTGTAAATAGCAATGTAGGTAATAGAATTATGTAGTAATCAAAGGCAGTGGTAAAAGCAGGTGGGAAGTCAGGCGTGCATGCCTTAAGCAATTCCCAAAGAAAGCTGTTTTGTAACTTTATATCACAGCAGAACTGTCCTAAGGACTAAACCACAAATCTGAAAAATAGTATCATCTACTAGATGCCAGCAAACATTTTTTAACAGTGTTTCTACTGCAGTTGAAAGAAAATGGAGTGAGTGTGATTTGAAGAATTTAAATTCGCCTGCTAGTGGGTTTCTGTTAAAGATTATTTTGCAGTGAAAATGGTCAAATTGTTTCTAAACATTTCTTCTGCAAAGAGTAGTTATTCTTATAGTCAGGGATTTGAGCAGCTTTCTTTTCTTTTCCTTTTTTTGTCTTTGAGGAATCACTAAAAATATAAATCCATATTCCATGTAACAGTGCTTTTTTTTTTTTTACATGTGTATGTGTGGCCACATATGTGTGAATGTACACGTGCGTGGAGCCGAAGGATAATGTCAGATCTCTCTCTCTCTTTTTTTTTTTTTTTTTTTTTTTTTCTTTTGAGACAGGGTTTCTCTGTAGCTTTGGAGGTTGTCCTGGAACTCACTCTGTAGACCAGGCTGACCTCAAACTCACAGAGATTCACCTGCCTCTGACTCCAGAGTGCTGGGATTAGGCCTGTGCTACCCCGCTTAGATATCTTTCTTATTGTACTTCAATTTATTTACTGAGGCAGGGCTTCTTAACAAACCCGGATCTCACAGATTTGGCTAGTCTATCTAGTCAACTTGCTTCAGGGATCTCCTGTCTTCTTCTCTTGGGCACTGGGGCTACAGGCAGGCAGTCTCATCCTATCAGCTTTTATGTGGGTTTTGGGGATCCCATCTCCAGTCCTCAGGTTTTCGTACTTTATCTACTGAGCCAAAGCCCCAGATCCTCAAACAGTGTCTTTTAGCTACTTCAAATTTCAAAATTTTATTTTCATCATTTTTTATAATTATACACTAAATAAAAAGTTCATCATAAAATGTCATGGGTATCCAAAATATGACCATCTTTGGATATTTTAGATACTGATTACTTTTAGAATTCAGCAAAATAAAAAACGATAGAAGAGGGCGTGAAGCCACACAAACAAAATGAGGTACTTTAATAATTTTACATGTAGTACTCACTTTATATTTTCCAAATAATGGATGCCTTCCCCCAGTTATTAACATATCATCTTCTCGATCCAGAACAAGACGAACGGGATGGCCAGTTCTGCAGAAAACAAATTTTAGATTCTCCATTCATCCCGTCCATCTGTCCAGCCACTCATCTATCTATCTATTCAGCTACCTGTCTATCCACCTGTGTATCCAAATCCTTATTTTACTATCTACCCACATCTATTTATTACATGTAAAACCCATTCATCCACCTTCCACCCTCCCATCCGTTTGTACCACTTATTTAATTCTCTATCCATCTGCCCATTACATGTCTCTATTAATCTGCACAAAGTCTTCTAGACATGATGTGAATTACCACCTGACTAAGTTACCATTGTCTTTGTGCTTGCAACTTAATGTTTGGAGGTATGTCTAAAGGGATTAATGTCACATGCCAGCTAAGTTCTGTCCCTCAAGCTTCAAATTCGACTTTCACCTAGATACAGCCATTTTGCATGTGTCTGCTACTAGTTATAAAGGGGAGGGTGTCAATGGGTAAATGCAATGCTAACGTCAGTAGGATAAACATCAGTTAAATGTACAGTTCATTCCCTGCAAATTCTGATTCAGAAGTCTTGGGATTTTTGTGGAATTTCTTTCCACAAAAAATTGAAATTAAAATTCTTATGTGTTTTTTTGAGGCAGGAATTTTCTCTGGCCTCCAGGGACTCCTGCTCTCTGGAGATCTGGGACACTGTCCTCAGGTGACTTGGTGCATGACTGCTGTGTGCTCAGGCAGGATGCACCTTGAGGCACTTGTTCCAGACATCACTGCACAGGTGGGTCAAAGGGCAAGTTTTGGAATATACTGACATCAGGGCTTGTACTATCTAGCCTAGGCATTGGGATTTAGATGCTCCATTTGGTGGCAGTGTGTGGCCATGCTTGAGAAGCAGAATCCACAGGGTCTGCTGTGAGTGCAAGAGCTGCTAACTGCTGACTATGATAAGGGACAAAAGTGGAGGTGAGATTTCAGCCCTGCTTCTTCTCTCCACCTATGCTGAGGATGAAGACACAGGTCCCAGTGAGAAGGACTTTTCTCTGAGCTACACAGAGGCTGTCAAAGGAAGCAGGACATTGGGACTTTGACGATTGAAAGGAACTCAGACAAAACAGTAAACATCTCCTTTTCCTCTCCTTCATCTCCTCTTTCTTCTCCCTATTTCTTCTCCCCTTCCCGCTCCTGCTCCTTCTCCTCTTTTTCTCCTCCTCCTGCTCCTTCTCCTCTTCCTGTTCCTTTTCTCCCCCCTTTCCCCCTCCTGCTCCTTCTCTTCTTTGTTCTCCAACACTGACAACAAATCTAGTCAGACAATGAACAGGATCCGCACTGTCGGTGTGCCCCTAAACATGGATAGCAAAGATGTGAGTCTTTCTTGAGATCACCCCATAGACCACCTGTCCATCAAGAGAGCACGTGGAGCTGGTGGAGGGTACCAGCCCACTTTCTTTCCTCACTCTACCCTACTCTGGGCTGGAAGTAGCAAAGAGTTAGGGGTCAATGATCAACTCGGGAAGGGTACCATGCCCCACATCTAAGCAATTCATCTTCCCTAAAGCTCAGGAATGGCCCCCGAAATTCTGGAAGCAGTCAACCAACTACCCCTCCTTTGTTTCTTTGTCAAAGCCATGGGTTCAGCTGACTTTTGCAAAACCAAAAAGGGTAGTACGGCAGGTGTGAAATACCTGCGTATTATAAAGAAACAGACAGGGACAGGAATTGCCCAGGGACCAGGTGACTCGGTCTGCAGCCAGAATTGATTTGTCAGGCTACTAATTTCCTCCGAGTTCAGCCTCTCCCACACTGCTGGCTCCTCAGGCAGACTTACTTGACAGCCCCCACTGCAGCAATTGCTCCGAACACAGCTGGTCGCCCCACCTTTCCTCCAAAACCTCCGCCCACTCGTTTCACATGGCAGGTGATCTTGTTGCTGGGGATGTTTAAGGTAGAGGACACTGTTTTCTGTAAGAGACAATGAGGCTTAAACAGAGGAAAATGACAACGAAGTGCTTTGTTTCCTGAAATATAACTATGCAGCAGAGTCCACTCACACCTACTGTGTAAGAGAGCAGAGACAGCAGAATCCACTCCTCTCTCATCTCTCTCTCTCTCTCTCTCTCTCTCCCTCTCTCTCTCTCTCTCTCTCTCTCTCTCTCTCTCTCTCTCTCTCTCTCTCTCTCTCTCTCTCTCTCTCTCCCTCCCTCCCTCCTCCTCCCCCTCTTCTTCTTTTTGGTTTTGAGATCCCTGTGTATCCCTGGCATCCTGGAACTCACTGTGTAGACCAGGCTGGCCTTAAATTCATAGGGATCCTTTTGCCTCTGCATCCCGAGTGCTGGGATTAAAGGTGTGCACCACCACTACCACTCTCTGGGCCATTTTTAAATGTTAATCTTCCCCCAAAAGCTCTTTGAGCAGCTACTTCATTTACTAGAGAGAAAACTATTAAAATCCCTGGTTCTTAACGGAAGCTGCACTTCTAGTCAAACTCCTGGGCTGAAGGATTCGAACAGGTGAAAAACAGTAGACTCCACACCCCCTAATAGAAAGGGTGATGTGAAGCTTAGAACATTTTCTGTCTGGAAGATAAGTTCAAAGTGATATTTTGACTTTATAAGTCATCTGTAATGATTATTTTAAAGAATAAAAAGGCACATAGGAAAAATTTAGTGATGCCATGCAATCACAGAGTAAAACTAAGCCTGATGCAAATAAATTTAGTGTTGTAATTCAAAGTGATCACACTCAGACTGGAGATTTAACTTGCCTAGGGTTCATGAAGACCTGGGTTTGAGCCCCAGCACTGCATAGGCCCTGTGTGATCATGCATGTCTGTAATTCTAATGCTCAGGGTGTGGAGGCAGGGTGTTCTGGAAGTTTAAGGTCAACCTTGTCTACTTAGTGACTTCAAGGACATCCCAGAAGGCAAGAGTTTGTGTTTCAGTAAGAAGTGTGTCTTCTGGACATGACATAGCTGTTGGAGTCATGAATACAGTGGGTCTGAGTTACCTGTTAAATTCTAGCTCAGACTGAGGAGGGGATCATAAGACCCCTACCTCCAGCTGACATTGCTAGAGGGGGGGAGAGTCGTTCTTCTTTGAGGGCGTGGCAACCACTGATGCTGATGCTCCAGTGGTTGGACAGTGGAACTGCCACACCCATATGCATAATTAGACTCAATGGGTTATTAAAAAAGACAGAACAGGGACTTAAAAGGGGATGCGATGGAGGTCTGGGGTAAGTTGGAGAGGAGTAGAGGGATGAATATGATCCAAATAGTTTGTACATATGCATGAAATTCTCAAAGAGTAGAAAAATAAATAAAAAAGGAAAAAGTGATCAGGATTGTTCTTTTATAGTTGACAGGAACAGGAAGAAAATTAAAACGGCCCTGGGGTCTCAGCTGCATTACACATATCCAACATCTAGATTCTAAGTTTTCCTTTAGTGAAGTAGCTGCCACCTGCGCTATGGAGACCAACCACCACGATTGAGGTAGGAAGGTGATGGTGGCATCCTGCTGGACCTTACCTGCACATGGGCTGGATCCTGTGTGGACACATACATGTCCAGTTCTTTGTCTTCTGTCTTTGGAATAACGAGCACTCTCTGTGTTTCCATGTAGAAATGTTCTTGCCCTCCAACGTGGACCTCTCCTGTGAAGGGCAAGTGCAGGAACATTTGTGGAGGTGTGTGCTGGTTGGAAGCTGCCATCACGGGGCATTTTAAACCAAGTGGGAATGTGAACTGCCCACCTGCAGCGTCACCCACTAAGGAACTTTTACCTTGTGACTATCGAGGGGGCCTGTCTCAGAAACCATAGTTCTGAAAGTTAAAAGTTCTAGGTTCTGTTTCTTACTCAGCCTTTGACGAACCAAATTTCAGGAATTTTCTCCTACTTACCCTGTTCCTGACTTCTCACCTCCAAATACAACATAGACACACAGGCGCATGGATGCACAGAGGCCTGAGAAGGAATGTAAATTTGTGGAAGCTCCAGGACTCCAGGAGCTAAGCCTCCCAAGGGCAAATCATACGTCCTTGACAGCTGCTTCCCAATGGAATCAAGGAATGACTCCAGGAATTCTTCCTAACTGTTTACCTTCAACCACCTGATCCACGTTTTCAAATGCCTCCTCGATGTTTCCTTGTTCAAGCTTCTTTTCAGGGCACAGGAATGAATTGTGTTTTATTGCATCCTATGTAAAAGGCCAAAGACACAGAGCCAGTCATCCTTTTTTTTTTTTTTTTTACTTCTGGCTGCTAGTACATTCTTCATATTGTTGCCTCCTGAGACACATGAAAGGTGTCAGGCATTCAAGAGCTCTTGAGTAGACAAGCTGTCAGAGGAATGTCGTCTACATTTGCAGAGAAAACTGGCCAGAAGGACTAGGAAAACGTCAAGAAGGAAGCCATGTTCAGAACTAAGGGCTGGACTCAATGGGGGTGGTCCAGGGTGGCATATGCTAACTGCTCATTTTTAGCGTGGGTCTCTAGAAATGGTATTAGGTGCCCAGGCACCGTGAGAGTGGTTCTGAGCCCTCCTTTTCCACTTCTCCCCAAGGAAAAAGTGTGTAAGATACTTTGGTAGCTACGTGCATGAACATCTTCTTCATTCAGGATTTTGAGAAGGCTGAGGCTGTGTTGAGGGAGAAGACACAGGTGCTCACACTTTGATAAGGGCAGGAAGGCCACAATGTCATTCCTGTGGGTATTTGACATATTTCCAAAGGGCCTTTCTAGACTTTTGTTCTTCCCTCTCCCTTTCTTCTTCCCCGACATCTGATTTCTGACATTGGCATGAATTGATTCCTACATGGAAACCGTTCTACTCTTTGGTTCAGTGGACTGACTTCCTACCGCTTCTGATCCTTGCTAACACTGCAGACCCAATATGCCTTTCTGCACTTCTGAATGACACCTTTGGATTCTTGAACTCCAAAAGCCTTAGAGTCCACAGCCTTCCATTCTCACGCATGGTGACAGTGAGAGCAGGTACTTTGTTTGTTTGTTTGTTTTGGTTTTTCGAGACAGTGTTTTTCTGTATTGTTTTGGAGGCTGTCCTGGAACTCTCTCTGTAGACCAGACTGGCCTCAAACTCACAGAGATCCGCCTGCTTCTGCCTCCTGTGTGCTGGGATTAAAGGTGTGTGCCACCAATGCCTGGCGAGAGCAGCTACTTTTTATTGAGTGTTTGTTTTGTGACAAACGGTCACATAGCAGTTTCCTTTGATTGATAGATGCCGCATTGCAGGGAAGCTTGAAACACGGAATCGAGGCTCATTAAAACTCAAGAAGTTAGTGGCACATAGTGGCACAAGCCTTTAATCCACTTGATCAAGCACTTGAGAGGCAGAGGCAGGTGGATCTCTGTGAGTTTGAAGTCAGCCTGGTCTGCATTGTTCCAGGACAGCCAGAGCTACAAAGCTATATATACCCTGTCTCAAAACAAAACAAAAGGCAAATAAAGGACTCAAGAAGTAGTGGCTGGAAAGATGGCTCTGCAGTGAAGAGCACTGGCTGCTCTTCCAGGGGATCTGGGTTTAATTTCCAGCACCAATATGGTGGCTCACAACTATTCAGTTCCATTTCATACCCGATTTGGCTCCCTGGGCACCAGGCACACAAGTGGTGCACAGACATTCAGACAAAACACCTACACACACATAAAAAAAAACAAAAAAGGACTCAGAAAGTAAATAGCACAGAGGTTTCTGGAAGTCCCTAAAACTGAACAGCTCTTGTGAGCCATCACCCACGCTAGGGAGGGCTTTCTGTTACACAACTGCCTTTGAGTCATTCCGGTGCTCCTATAAGCCATCCCTCATATGCCTGTAAGTAACCCCTATAAAGTCATTGCTTCACAGAGTTGGACTTGGGTGACATCATTATTTCAGACTATTATCATTGCTTCCCTGTCTGGGGTAAGTAGATATCTCTTCACATTTCCTCAGAAAAAATGTCACACACAACACAAACACACACAATAGCAGTATATATGTATGCATCTACATATTCTTGCATTAATTCTATTATAACCTCTATTTTTAAGATGAAGAAATGGGGCTTAGAGAAGAGAAAATAACTCTCAAAGTCAGGCTGCAAATATGTGAGACAGGTAGCATGCAAGCCCAGGCTTAGTTTCTAGAATCATCTTGCCTAGGGCTGGGGAAGTGACTCAGAGACAGAGTATTGGCCCAGCATACACAAGGCCCCATGCTCTGCAAACAAAAAGTCACCTTTGGCAATGACAGCTGCCCAACTTTTTCTTCTTATTTTAATTTATTTATTTCATTTAATGTGCATTGGTGTTTTTCCTGCATGTATGTCTGTGTGAGGGTGTCATGTCCCCTGGAACTGGAATTACAGTGAGCTGACATGCGGGTGCTGGGAATTGAACCCAGGTCCTCTGGAAGAGCAGTCAGTGCTCTTAACCACTGAGCCATTTTTCCAGCCCCCCGACTTCTTAAAACAATGGAAAATATACATCACATTTGAGATTTTTACTTTTTCTTTTGGTTTTTCAAGAGAGGGTTTCTCTGTGTAGTCCTGGCTGTCCTGGAACTCACTTTGTAGATCAGGCTGGCCTCAAACTCACAGAGATCTGTCTGCTTCTGCCTCCCCAGTGCTGGGGCTAGAGGCATGTGCCACTATGGGCTGGCAATTTTTACTTTATTAACTAACACTTTGTCTTAATTAGGGTTACCATTGCTGAGATTAAAGGCTGTGACCCAAAGCAAGCTGGGAGGAAAGGGTTTATTCTGTTTACACTTCCACATCACTGTTCATCACTGAAGGAAGTCAGGGCAGAAACTCAAACAGGGCAGGAACCTGGCGTCGGGAGCTGATGCAGAGGCCATGAAGGGGTGATGCTCGCTGGGTTGCTCCCCTTGGCTTGCTCAGCCTGCTTTTTTATAGAACCCTGCACCACCAGCCCAGGGATGACACCACCCACAAAAGGCTGAGCCCTTCCCCATCAATTGCTAATTAAGAAATGCCCTACAGGCTTGCCTGCAGGTTGATTTTATGGAGGCATTTTTTTCTTATTTTTTTTCCAGTAAATTTATTTGTTTATTTATTGATTCCACATCCTGGCCACAGCTTCCCCTTCCTCCTCTTCTCCTAGTCCCTTTCCCCCCCCTCCCCTCCCCTCCCCCAATCTGCTCCTCCTCCATTTCTGTCCAGGAAAGAACAGGTGGAAGCATTTTCTTAATTGAGGTTCTCTCCTCTCCACTGACTGTAGCTTGTATCAAGTTAACATAAAAGCATCCAGCTTACACTTCAACCTTAACAAGTCACAGTGGCAAACACAGAAATATGCTTATTGCCATGATGTTAGTGTGTCAAAAGACACTGGACCTTCTGATGAGATGTGCTATATGGAGTGAGCACTGTAAGCCAGAGACTTACAAGTCTCTCTTTGTAGCCTTGATTCTCCTGGAAATTACTGTGTAGATCAGGCTGATCTCTAACTCACAGAGAGATCTACCTATCTCTGCTGCCCAAGTGCTGAGATCAAAGACATGTGCCTTCATGCCATGGCTGGGAAATGTTCTTAATGGTGTTAGGGGTACCTGTTCTCATTCCTTTTGCTGTCTGGAATGTAGCTTTAGTGGCCAACGCTTCAGTAGCTATTTTTGAAAAAGCTGTGACCTGCAGAATGGAAACCATACATTACAGAGACTGGACAGAAGGATCTGGATTCCTGACACACAGCTCACAAGCTATGGCTTGTGTCCCAGCCTAACTCCCAGGTCAGCAGACTTGAGAGGTGGGTCTGTGAGGGTGATTAGGTCACAGGGACTCTGCTCTTATGGGTGGGTTATTGTAATAACTGCAGTGGAATAGCTTTGCTATGAAAGTGAATTTCTCTCTGTTCCTTATTCCCTTCCCCTTCTGTCTTCCGGAGTCATGCGTGATAGATACAGCCTTCCAGTTTAATAAATTCCTGTTTATTATACATTACCCAGTCTCGGGGATTCTGTTATATTAGCACAAAACATACCATATAAACTGTATAAGCAGATATTACAGACTACCCTACCATATAAGCCTCAGACTGCTCATGTCCAGTCTTTTTTCTTGTCTTTTGTCAGTAGGCAAGCATTTAGCACTTAGTTCACTGAGCTATACACCCATCTTTCTTTTATGTTTTGTTTTGAGTCAGGATCTCACTAAGTTGCTTAGGTGCAGTTCATCTGCCTCAGTGGGCCACACAGCCAGAACCAAGGCCCCTTTCACTAGGTCTGGCTACTTCTAGGCTTTTGAATGCGACAGAGAAACTTCTACGCTGATTGTTTTTTCCTGCTTCTTGGAGCCAAAATAATTTCATCTCATACAAGTAATATCTTCTGGAGCAAAATGATTTTTCCAGAGCAAGCAAATGCCAAAGGGGGGAAAAAGGTTCTGAGTTAGTCTTCTACTATTAAGATATTTGCAAAGATGCTTTTGACTTTACAATTTTTTAAAGATTTATTTTTATTTTATGTAGGAAGCCGGTTCCTGCATTATAATGCTGCCTGAAGACACCACGGTGTGAATTACTTCACAGGCGCTGGGTAATCTCCATTCCTTTGATCTCTGCCTATCCCGTGGCTCATTTTAGCCTGAGGAGCTAAAGCCATTCATAGGGTAATACGTCCCAGGCGGCTGGTCAGCCTTTTATAAGGGATGGTTTTCTTGGTTCAAATGTCTCCACTCTGGTAAAATGCATTAAAGCTTGTCTGCAGAAGGATCCGAGTGTCCTGCGTGTATTTCTTGCTGGCGAGGAATACAGAGCGGGCGCGGGACAATTTTATGTGTATGAGTGTTTGCCTGTATATAAGTCTATGCATGACACACATGCTTGATATCTGCAGAAGCCAGCAGCCAGTCTTAGATCCTCTGGAACTGGAGCTTCAGATGGCTGTGAGCCAGCATGAAGATGCTGGGAATAGAACCTGGGTCTTCTGCAAGAGCATCAAGTGCTTTTAACCACTGAGCCATCAATCCAGCCCAACTTTACAATTTCAGAGGGAGACTGACTGGCCCTTCTTACCTTGATGGTGAAAATCACAGGTTTCAGATCCTCATAGGTGATTTTTATCTTTTCAGTTGCTCGTTTTGCCTGAACATCAGTCTCTGCAACCACGGCACAGATGACCTGGCCCACACAGTGCACCTGTAGAGTACATACACAGCAGACAGAGAGCCAGGGGGATGGATCAGTGTGTAATGGTGCTCTCTGTACAAGCCTGTGGACCCGAAGTCCATCCCTGGAACCCATGTAAAGGCCGGTGGAGAGAGAAACAACTCCATAAAGCTGTCCTCTGACCTCCACATCTCCCACACTCTGCTCCATAATAAAAATAAATAAACTAATTTAAATAACTTAAAAGCAAACAGAATAGAAGCCAAGCTCAACTACACCCATGGTTGGCATCTTAGATGTTCTTATTGAACAGAAATAGCCATACCGGAGTCACATGTACTTGGGTAAAAATTTAAAAATAATAATAAAAAAAGAAGGCTTGCATTATACCCAGTGGTATAGCACTTGCCTAGCATGTGGAGACCCCTGGTTAGACCTCCAGCACCACACACAAAAAGTATGTATTATACAGTTTCACTCACTGGTCACTATACTCAGAAAGTATAAGTCCCAGAGATTGACTATAACATGAACCAGTTGAGTCCCCTGTCATGTTGTGTTTACATGCATCCTCCATCCTGTCACTTAAGAGCTTAATGTGTAAATGTGTGGCCTCTGTTGTCAAGTGACTGAACTTCCCAACCCCTTACTATGAGATTGCATTTGTTGGCAGGATCTCCACATAGGTTATTAACGTTGAGTGAGTGAGGCCATAAGAGTGGGGCTCTGTGCAATGTGACTATTGAGCCTATGAGAGAAGGAACAGAGAAAATGCAAAAGGAAGACAATGCAAAGGCAGCCATCAGCAAGCAAGAAGAGATTCTGCAGAGGGAGCCAGACCTGCTCACACCATGGCCTGGGCTCAGCTCCAGAACTATAAAAATCCATTTCCATTGTTTCAGCCTCCACCTTATGTACTTTTTTTGTGAGATGTATTTATTTTTACTTTATGTGGTTTGCCTTCATGTGTCTGTTGTGTAGCACATGCATATAGTGCCCACAGAGACCAGAAGAGGGCATTGGATACTGGGAACAGGAGTTACAGATAGTTGTGAGCTGCCATGTGGGTGCTGGGAATGGAACTCAGGACCTCTGGAAGAGCAGCCAGTGCTCTTAACCACTGAGGCATCTCTCCAGGCCATGTTTAGGTGGTTTTATTATGGCAGCCCCCAACAGACTGAAAAATGACAGTCAACCTCTTCTGATGAATTAAAAAACAAGCCCCCCCCCCCAAAAAAAACAACAAATAAAACACAAAACCCCACTGGTCTCCTTCAAGGCTGGAGGAGAGAGTGTGTGGATTTGCCTGAAATGTGATAATGGCCAGCACTTAGTGAGTCTTCATATGCCAGCCGCTGTCCTGGGTACCTTGAGTGTATTCACTTGTTTAACTCACTGTGATACAATGAGGTATGTTGTGATCATTCCTCCATTAAAGGTGGTGGACTTGAAAGGCTCGCAGTAGGTGGGAATGCTGGAACAGAAGCTGAGGTGCTTTAGTGGTCAGTAAATGATTGTTGAATTTGAATTTGAATGACAAGGCCAAGACCACTTAATAAACATAAAGCTAGGCCGGGCATTGGTGGCGCACACCTTTAATCCCAGTACTCGGGAGGCAGAGGCAGGTGGATCTCTGTGAGTTCGAGGCCAGCCTGGTCTCCAGAGCGAGTGCCAGGATAGGCTCCAAAGCTATACAGAGAAACCCTATCTTGAAAAAAAAAAACAAAAAACAAAACAAAACAAAAAACAAAACAAAACCCCCCAAATAACAACGACAACAAAAAACATAGAGCTAGTGAAGGAAAGTGAGACCTGGTGGGAGCTCCATATAAGAGGGTGTGGCTGTGGTCCTCCCCCACCTCCTTTCTAGATCTTTCTAGAGCATTCTATCCTAATATAGATCAGTTCCATACATTTACTCTTCAGATAAGTTCAGATAAATGAACTCAAAGGCACATAGTGGCTGAATCAGGTCTATAATTAGTTTTTGTTTAATATGTTATTTCCTAATTTCAGAAAGGCAAGGTTAATAGAGGCACTGGGGTAGAGAGCAGCTAGGGTCATGGCACTTCTACACCTCCATGGTAGAAAAAAACTGGGAGGCAAGGACAGTTGACTGACAGGGGTCCTTGGGTGACTACTTTCACAGGCGTCTGAGAAAACACGTCCCATTCATACCTCATCTACAGCCAGTAATTTGTCATCGTCATCACCATTGGTGCCTGGAATGTCTTCAGCTGTAATAACATCAACCACACCAGGTAGGGTAAAGACCTCAGATGAATCAATTGATCTGAACACAGGAGACATTTAAGAAGGAGACATCAGCAAATTTTGAGGGTCTCAGACCCAAGGGAAAATGGGATGTAGTTGAAAATAAAAATATGTAGCAACGAATCCAGTTGGGCAACCAGAGTGGACCTGCCATGGAGTAGACTCCAGGAGACCTGCTGCAGGACCGGGAGGTAACACTTCAGCTGCTGCAGCCGGCATTGAGACAGGTCCCCTTTGGAAGTGTGTGGCAGTATTTGTTTCCTAATCAATAATGAAGCTGGTGTTTCAGTGTAGCAGAGTGTCTCTGAGTCACACATGAGGCTGCAGGGGGGTTGAAGTTTTATGACCTTGGAGAGCAAACAAAAGTACCATAACTTTTTATTTTTTTGAGACAGAGTCTCGTGTAGTCCACCTGGGCCTGGAACTAGCTATGTAAGTGAGGATGATCCTGAACTTCTGATCCTCTTGCCTCTACCTGCTGGGATTACAGTGGTTTACATGTGTGCTGGTTTTACATGGTGCTAAGGATTGTACCTTAGGCTTTGTGCATGGTGTTCCAAAGTGTTCCAGAACTCTACCAACTGAGCTGTATCCCTAGTGCCTACACCCTCCCCCGGCTCTCAAGATGGTCATTTCTAGATATACTCTCTTCCTTATGGAACTCTTTGGGCCAGGACATTGCAGAAGAGGGCACAGTCCTTTGAAGCAACCCCTAGGTATACCTTTAAAAGGTTTTTTGAAAAGCTTTGCTTTACTTACATGATTTTTGCATGAGCCCTGGTACTGGTCACTAAAGCCATGAAAAGTTCTTTATCCACCCTGGGGATGTCATCACAAAATATGGCTTCCCCTGTGGCATGTTTAAGACCTGACAGATGCATGATGGGACGTCCAACTGGATCTTGGAGAGGCTGATGAGGATCCACTCTCTATAGAGAAAGACAGAGTTAGTCCAGAAACCTTTCATCTTGGGTGGTCTGGGTGACTCAGCAGGCAGTTCCATTGGGCAACAAACACTGGAGCTGGTCAGAGGATGAGCATGACCATTTCATGATGTAACTAGAATACAGAATTGTCATTTCTGTTTGGTGGCAATGTCTCTGACAGGCCAACATTTTGACAGAACGGTGAAGTAGGTGAAAGGACTCTTTAGTTCCTGCATTTGTGGTACCCTGAGCTCCTTTGTTCCTGACAATTTAGGTCTCTCTGTCCTGCTTGCTCACTCTTCCAATGGCAAACCTGCTCATGCCAATCATTCTGATGAGGCCTAGAGTGATACAGCGTGCCCCACAGCGACCGACCAAAATCTGAGTGAGAACTCTAAGTGTGACTCACCAGGGCCTCTGGCAACAGGGTGGGAAGGAATGGGAACAGAATCCTCCAGATGCAGACTGATTTCGAAAGAGTTTATTCTGGAACTTTTCTCTGAGGCTGCAGTGGTGTGTGTGTGTGTGTGTGTGTGTGTGTGTGTGTGTGTGTGTGTGTGTGCGCGAGCAGAGGATGGGGAGGGCTGTGTACCAGCAAGAACAGCTCATTTCTAGACTGTCCTTCTGACCAGCTTAGTCACTTGCAAGCCTCTTGTTTACTGACTGGAGATTAAACATACACAGTTTGGACTGAGTCCCTGGACTCTGCTACTCTTCTGGGTAGGTATTAAACAAACGCCCCAAAAATATCACATTAAAGTGACAATGACTGTCTGCTGGAAAACCACTCTGGCAGAGCAGTCCTGTGCTCCTCTAACACCTGCTCTTGGGGTTGAGAACCTCCTGATTAGAAACACTTAGAAAGAACTGAAAATCACCCCTGTGAATAGCTTGCTTGGTCCACACAGCTCCAGCTTATCTCTCAGGATAGGTTTCAGTGAAATCAAACTCACTGACCTGGTATGTTTGGACTCCCTGGGGTAGTGTGACCTGGAAATCTTCCAGAGCGCTCAGGAACCGGTCTGCAATCACTGGATAATGCTGGCTGTCCTGGAATGGCTCAGCACAGTGAGAGAGACTGGTTAGTCTGGATCAAGTTGGGTTTGGGTTATGTAGAATGACTCCTAGTGCACTGCGGGGTGGCCTAGTTACCCCTCCCCCCAGAGTTTCACTTTTTTGTGACCCTGGTGCCCCCTCACCCCCTATGCAAGCAAGGGCTTGGATGACTGGCTAGATCTGATCTTCATGTCCCTGGAGGGAAAGGTCTGCTAATGAGCTAGGAGATTGTGTGTGTGTGTGTGTGTGTGTGTGTGTGTGTGTGTGTGTGTGTGTGAGGAAGGCAACTCTAGGCTGAATAAGCCATCCCAGAATAAGCTAGAGACCATGGTTCACAAAATGAAAAAAAAATTCTGAATGCTTTTTCCAGGATCTTTTTTCTAAGGCTGGAAGACTTCTCTGGTGTCCTAACTGAGAAATGAAGGTCTTTGTCTGAAATTCAGAGGTTAGGGACAGTGGCCATGGGGACTGTGGCCATGGGGCAGGAGTGGCTGAGGAACAGAGTACAGGGAAGGATGAGAGCTGTGATTACTGTCAGGGAAGGGTTGAAAGAGTGAGAGGGCAAGGCAGGGAGAACAGGTATGAGAGTAAATATTTTGCTTAACTTATTCCAGAAGTTTGTAATCAGAAAACCTAGAACGCCATTTAGATAGTAATATATACATCAGTTGTTGACTTTTTGAAACATAAAAATTGAACGTCACATTCCACAATGATTACAAAATGCTAGACTAAGCAAAGTGAAACTTCAGTCCCACAAAGCAGATTAGTGTTTGTCTGGACAGGGATGGAATGATGGCACAAAGGGGACAAGGGGATTCTTTGGGGTGATGAAAATGTGTTATGTTTAGTTTCAGTTGGTGGCTCCATAGGTATACATTGTGTACTAAAACAGGTGGGCTAAATTATATATTATTTGTCTCATGTTTTACTGTAAATTGTGATTTAATAAAGTTTATTTTAAAAGAAAAAAATTACAGAGTGGAGACAGAGACCTTGGAATGTTTCTGTGCTGGGGCATGATAAACACCTGAGAACTGAAAGTCGTTTGTTGGGGCTAAATCCCAGGACAAACACTGGGCTGACAAAGGCTGACCCAGATCGAAGCCTTCTAGAAGATGGTAACAGGCTCCCCTCAAGACAAATGGCACAAGCAGCAACAAAGCTAGGAACCCTTGGTAGCAAGGAGCTGACAGAGGCAGCGTTATGGTTTGAATTTTGTCTTCCCAAATCTCTATGTTGAAGTCCAAACCTCCAGAAATTCAGAGTGTGACCTATCCAAACAAGCTGGGATGTTTACTATGGTGGTAATGAATTAGAATTGGCTGACATTATGGCTGACGTCCTCTTAGAAGGACACATTTGGATGTAAACATGCACACAGGGGCTGTGTTGTGTAAAGGCAACAGCAGGGTAGTTCCTACAAGGTAAAGAACTGTAAAGGTCACTAGCAAGCCACCAGAAGCTAGACCAAGCCACCTGAAGCTGTGTGAAAGGTGTGGAATAGAGCCTCGTAGTCCTCAGGAGGAACTGGCTCTGATGATGCCTCTGGTTTTTGTTTATTATATATTTTTGAGATGGGTGTCACTCTGTAGCTCAGATGGGCCTTGAACTCATAGTGAACTCAGCCTCCTGCTACCTGATGGCACCTTGGGCAAGGCCTTTAGCCTCAGTACTGTGAGGCCATGACTCTGTGTGAGCGCATTTGCCACTGTTCTCCAGTGCACTTACAGTAGACTCTGAGGACAGCTTTACTTTTCTCTTCAGTTCCTGCAGAACCTCCAGGTAGAACTTGAAGAGGAAGCTGACCATCAGAGTCCTCTTGTACTCCACTTTACCCCCCAGAGCTGAGCCCGGGAGGGAGACTTCATCCAGAAGCCTCCTGCAAGCCTCGTCCAGCATGAGTGCATTCCAGTGCCTGATACAGCGGGAGTTGAGAAGATCCAGTTAAAGGGCAGTCTGATTGCATGGAAACTGGCATTTTAGTCCCCAGAGTCTCTCTTAGAAATTGTGTTAACAAGGGTCTCTGGAAAAATCCAAGTGGCTGAGTGAGAATGGGACCTTTCCCATTGCAACATAAATCAAGCATGTGCCAGAGGCAGAATATTCTAGAACCATTCCAGAATATTCCAGAACAGAGCAGAACCTAGACTTGGATGCTGCCTTTACCTAGGGAGAAATAGTGTGCCCCTGTGTGGGAGTACTGGGCTCTACTTGGAGAGGGCAGCTGAGTGTTCATAACCAGGGGAAAGGGGGCTAGATGAGAAAATATCACCTGCAGGTTGGACTCAGGCCTGGGCCATTTTTGTTGTGTCCCTCACCCCAAAAGTGACTTAATTGAAACCAAATAATGTGGAATTAATTCAGCAAAATTAAAGAAGGAACAAGCAGTGATTTTTTTTTCTTTACTAGTCTGGGTTTCCATCATTCCAGGGCTTTATCAACAGTTGTCAGGGCCAGTTTATTTTTCCCATCATCAAGGTTCCTTCTCTTGAAGGTGCAGTGCTCATGACTTACCTGCCGACAAGCTGCTGGCAGGATCTGTGAGCACTGATGGTGGTGGGCCCCACCCCTCCGTAGGCGATGCTCAGGTCTTCAATGATGTCTGTGCCCTCCCTGAACAGGACTCTCATGCCCGCATTCACATCAGGCAAAGCGTTCTGATGGCACTGGGCCTGCCGGAAGGCGGACACAAACTCCCACTGTGGAGACAGAAACCATTCCGGGTTATCTGATATGTCAGAACGAAAGGCTTGGGTTCCCTCTTGGTGCCTCTAATTAATTAATCACTTAGAATCATATAATGAGACACGGAAGACAGTTATCTAAATGAGAGACACTTTGGCTGCCTTCTTGCAGAGTGAGGATGGTGTCCTTAAAAAAAAAATCTATTTATTTATTTATTTTTGTATATGAGCCTGTGTGAGTTATTTGTTCCACATGTGTCTAGGAGCCCTCGGAGGCCAGAAGAAAGCATACATGTAGGTGCTGGGAACAGAACCCAGGCCCTCTACAAATGCAGTAAGCATTCTTAATCACTGAACAATTTCTCCAGATAACCTAAAAAAAAAAAAAAAAAAAAAGAAAAAAGTTAGAGCAGGGTGTGGTGGCACACGTCTTTGATCCCAGCACTCGGGAGGCAGAGGCAGGTAAGTTTCTGTGAGTTCAAGGCCAGCCTGGTCTACAGAGCTAGTTCCAGGACAGCTAGGGCTACACAGAGAAATCCTGTCTTGGAAAAAAAAAGTTGTTGGGCCGCAAGAGAAGGCTCAGCAGTTAAGAGCACTTGTTGCTCTCACAGAGGACCTAGGTTTGGTTCCTAGAACCTAGGATCCCAACAGTCTGTAATGCCAGTTCCAGGGGAAACCCTCTTCTAAACTTCTTTAGGCACCAAGCACACACATGGTGAATGTATATAAATGCAAGAAACACACACACACATACATTAAATAAATAAATAAATCAAAAGGATTAAAAAAGATTTGTTTGTGGGCTGGAGAGATGGCTCAGAGATTAAGAGCACTGACTGCTCTTCCAGAGGACCTGAGTTCAATTCTCAGCAACCACATGGTGGCTCACAACCATCTGTAATGAGATCTGGTGCCCTCTTCTGGTGTGCAAGCATACATGCAGATAACTGTATACATAATAAATAAATAAAATCTTTTAAAAAAAGATTTGTTTTGTTTATGTATATGAGTGTTTGCATAAATGCCCGTGCTCTTAGAAATCAGAAGAGGGTGTTGGAGCCCTTGGGCCTGGAGTTAAAGATGGCTGTGAGCCAACATGTATGTATTGGGAACTGAACCTTGGTCCTCTGGAGGAGCACCAAACAGCAACTGCTGAGCCATCTTTTTATCCCCAAGAGTGATAATGGTGTCCTTCTAAGAGCCCACCCTAGAGGCCATTGATAGCTCCAGGGATCATGGGCTGCTGGAGGTCAGCAGAGCTCTGTGGAGGATGCTATGGAAACCACTGAGAGGCCTTGTTGGTGCTGTGTTTCTTGAAGCCATCCTCTCCAGTCTTTGGATTCTGGTTTTTTATTTTTATTATTTATTTATTTATTTATTTATTTTGAGATAGAGTTTCTTTGTGTAACATCTCTGGCTGTCCTGGAACTCACAGAGATCTGCCTGCTTCTGCCTCCTGAGTGCTGGGATTATAGACGTGTGCCACCACTGCTCAACTTCAGTCTTTGGATTCTTTTGTCTCTGTGAGGATGGAGGAGCCTTCTGAGGTCAGGAGCTTTTCAGTTCAAACCCTGCTCCATTTCCTGGTTTGTAGAAACGAACACTTTCCCATTTGGCAAGAGGGGAGTGGGATGGTCTAACAGTGGACTCGCGGCTGCTGGCTCAGGAGCCGCAGAGGTGGTGTCTGCCCCAGAGGCTCTCTTCACTTCATGTCTTCCCTTTTGCTTGTCTCAAAGCTTCTCATACTTGATGTTCCATTTTTCTTTTTGACAGAATACTTTGTTTTATTTATTATTTGTTTATTTATTTTTGTGTGCATGGGTGGTTTGCCACACGGATGTCTGTGTATCATGTGTCTGCCAGGTTCCCATGAAGGCTGGAGAAGGGCATCAGACCCCCTGCATCTCGAGTTACAGATGGTTGTGACTGCCACATGGGTGCTAGAATTGAACCTGGGTCCTCTCCAAAAGGAAGTTCTCTTAGTTGCTGAGCTGTGTCTCCAACCACTGATATATCACTTTTCTATCTTCTGCCTTTGCATAGACACACATGTGCTTTCAGATGGGAAAGCATGTCAAAGTTTCTGTTCCAAAAGGAAGGACTACCAAAGATCACATAGTCCAGATATAACTTAAGACTTAATTATAAGACGGGCATTGGTGGCGCATGCCTTTAATCCTAGCACTCGGGAGGCTGAGACAGTTAGATCTCTGTGTGTTTGGGGTCAGCCTGGTCTACAGAGCGAGTTCTGGAGTCAAGCACAGCTTTGGAGAAAAGCCTAAGGAACAGAGAGTGAGGGCAGAAGGCCACCTCCATAGCTGGCAGGGTGACTACATCAACCCCAGTATCCTGGGCCAGGAAACATCTGGAGGCCATGTGTTCCTATGAGCTGTAGGGGTTGGCAGGAATTTGGGGGTGGAAAAGCCAAGTTAGGACTACTACTTCCTTTGTGTCAGGTAGAGAAGCTCTTTCTACAGCCGGAGAGCCTTCACTCGTGGGGGAGTGTGACCACAGACCTTCCGCAGACCACACCCTACAGCTGCGACAACAACCAAAATCCACACCCTGGAGTTACTTGCTCAGGACAGTCCCAGAGCCTTGTCGCTGATCCAGTTTGCAGTTGGTCAGGAGACAGTTTCACAGATGCGGTTACTTTCCTTCCACCTGCCTTCAGATGTTAGGGGTGACTGGCCTCCTTTATGACAGGGAGAAACAACTTCAGAGCCACCAGCTGGCTTCTTACCTTTTGAGAGTGAGGGATGTATACAGATCCTAAAATCTCCCCTGGCTTCAGGTCTGCGCTTGCCAACCCAGCAAGAAAATGTCCATCGAGGGCAATCTGCCGCATGCCTTCTGTGGAAAGAAATGGCATTTCTGTACAGCCATTAAAAAAAGCAAGCCAGATCTGCACTTTCTGAGGCTGTGACACTGTTATTTTCCCTTCACTGCTCTTGGCATTTGCTCTCCGTCAATGCTCATGCCATGCCCACCACCCCGTGGGTTTTCATCTTTCAGCAGAGGCTGGCTAACTAAATGAACCACAAACCTAAGGTCAAGGCTGCAGCGTAACTTAAGCTGACACTGGATTTACTTTCGCTGCTAGCAGAGCTATGATCTGTTTTGTACATTTGCTGCAGTTTTGTGTTCCTGACACTGACACGCCTTTAAAGTAAACAGCTTGTCAAAACTTGGGCTCAGCTATTCACCTCTTGGGACCAGGGCACTGCCCTCTGTCTTTAAAATATGATTTGCACTTTTTTAGGGTATAGGATGTGTGTGGAAGAGATCAAACTACATCCCAGGGGTGACGTGAGTTCTATTCCCTGCACAGTTGGCACTGTGTTGGTTGGAATGCTGGTATTGTCGCAATTGGGTGGGAAAAACCAAAGAAGTCCCTGCAGATCACTGTCCACCTGTGTTGCTGCTAAGTCAGTGAGCTGAGACCCTGCCTTCTCTTGAGAGATGGAGGTCTGCCATAGCTTTGCAGAGTTGGGAAAGCAGAAACTGTAAGTCAAAGGTGACTACAAACATCCAGTAGAACGTTACTAGCATCACGGTAGCCGAAGGCCCTGGACAGGAACTTCACCATCCTGGTGTCCCCAGAGTCTTGGCTTCTTGACTATTTTGTGGGTTCAGCTGGGGTCATCCCAGACTACAGGTCTAGTGCCCTCAGACAAAAGCCTGGCTCAGGCAGCACGCTTAACCTCCCTCCTAAAAGGCTTCAAACGAAGTCAGTCATGGAGTAGGGCCTGGACACTTTCTCAGCCCCTAAGTCTCTCCCCACTACCTCTAAACTCCGAGCAGTGAGTGACAGCATCAAACACTTCAGGGAGCCCGGAAGACTACAGGGGCAGAGGTTGTGGCTCCTTCTGTGTCCCTGTACCTGGGAGGTAGCCGTGAGTCAAGATCTGCTGAGGGACAGTGCATAGAGGTATTGGATGGTGAGGTGGTTTGAAAGAAAATGGCCCCCAAAGGGAGTGGCACTATTAGGAGGTGTGGCTTTATTGGAGGAAGTGTGTCACTGTGGGGGTGGGCTTTGAGGTCTCTTTTTCTCAAGCTTTCCTCAGTGTGAAAATCAGTAGATTTCTTGTTGCCTGTCAGATATAGCACTCTCAGTTCCAGCACCACATCAGCCTGCATGCCGCCAAGTTCCATGTCATGGTCATAAAGGACTGAACTTCTGAAACTGTAAGCAAGTCACCCTCAATTAAATGTTTTCTTTATAAGAGTTGCTGTGGGGGGCTGGAGAGATGGCTCAGAGGTTAAGAGCACCGACTGTTCTCTCAGATGTTCTGAGTTCAATTCCCAGCAACCACATGGTGGCTCACAACCATCCGTTATGAGATCTGGTGCCCTCTTCTGGTGTGCAGATATATATGGAAGCAGAATGTTGTATACGTAATAAATAAATAAAATCTTTAAAAAAAGAAAGAGTGTGTGTCTGTGTGTGCGTGTGCATGCACACACGCACATGCATGCATATGTTTTTTTTTTTTTTAAAGAGTTGATGTGGTCATGGTGTCTTTTCACAGCGATAATAAACCTTAACTAAGACGATGGGTGGTCAGGAAGTCTGTGAGGGAAGGGGAGGGGCATTTTAGAGCTGGAAGCCATGGACACAGGACAGGGTGATCAGCAAAGATTGTGAATGGATGACAGAGTGACAGAGGTTCCCATCTGCTAAAGTTTGAGTGCTAGTCTCCTTCAAAACTCAGGGCCAGGAAGATGGCTTAGTAGGTAAAGGTGCTTGCAGCCAAGCTTGATGACTGGAGTTCAATCCCTAGGACCTCTTAAGGAAAGAACTGACTCTGGTAAGTTGTCCACTTGTGTGCTGTGGCATGCCTAACACAATAAAGATACAACACATTTTTAAAAGGCCTTACTCAGTTCAGGGAATTTAGTAGCCATTGTAACAATATTCGGAGCTATCTGGGTGTGTTGTGGTAGAACACTTGTCTAGCATGCACAGTCTCTGACCTGAAATGGATCCCTGGCAAGAGATGGTGACATGGCTCCACCCTCAGAGCAGGGACTGGTGCATTACAAAGGATGACTCTGGCCCCCTTTTGTCCTTTCTTGCATTTCTACCTCCTGACATGAGATGATGGAAGAAGGCTGTCACTACATTATATCATGTGACCTTGGAGCTTCTAGCCTCCAAAGCCTGAGGGGAAAAAAAAATGTTGATAAACGACTCACATTCAGTGTTAGCATCATGAACCAGCTAAGCTGGAGTCCCATCATTTTCTGGACAAGTGGAATGTGCTCCAGGTTGAACAGCGTGGGAGAGAAGTGTGTAAAGTTCCCAACAGAGCCTGGCATGTTTAGCCTTTTGTCAAGGGTGTGTTAGAGCTTGTGGAACAGACCAAAGTGCTGTGAGTGCAGAGAGGCCTGGGGGTGGGGGAGCGGGCAGGGGAGGTGATTACCAGGGAGTTACCATAAGGAAATGCTCCATTCAGCCAGCAATTAAAATGAGTCACTGCTTTCTCCTCCCCATAGAGATGTTTGGCTTTCTGTGTGTGCCCGAAGAAGAGTGCCATAAAGGGTAGTGTGTGTGTGTGTGTGTGTGTGTGTGTGTGTGTGTGTGTGCGCGCGCGCGCGCTTGCGCATGTACTCGAGTTCTCAGATTGGGTGTAGATTGAAGGAGGAAGGCAGGAGCCTTGCTCCCTTAGGCTATAGGAATACGCCATCTGGAACAGGCCAGGTCCCCCCTCTTTTGTGTGTCCACCCCCAAGACAAGGTCTCTCTATGTGGTCCTGGCTGTCCTGGAACTCACTGTGTGTGTAGACCAGGCTGGCCTCAAACTCACAGATATCCTCCTGCCCCTGCCTCTTTAGTGCTGGGATTAAAGGCGTGTATCACTACGCCCCGCCCTCACTCTCTTAAAAAAATAAAAAAGATTGATTTTTATTGTGTTTAGTTATATACAGGTATCTGTATGTGGTTATGCAACTGTGAATGTATGTAACCATGAGGTCAGATTCCCCGGAACTGGGCTTACAGGCAGTTGTGAGCTGCCGACATGGGTGCTGGGAAACAAATTCAGGCCCTTAGCAACAGCAGGACCTTAACTGCTGGGCCATTTCTCCAGCCACATTCTCTTTTCTTTAAAAGATTGACCTTTCTTTCTTTCTTTCTTTCTTTCTTTCTTTCTTTCTTTCTTT